ATAAAATTAAAATTAAATTAGTAATTTGAGTAAAAAAAAATTCTGTAAAATTTTTGTTTTTTTTTTTAAAAAAATAACAGACAAAAATCAATGTAAAAGATCACAAAATAGAAATTTATAATATTAAAGAGCATTTGTTGATTAAAATTTAATTTATTGAGACACAGTCTGCAAATAGAACCTATAATGAAATTAACGTAAGTGTTACTTGCGCCGGAAGCGATTTTCTTTAATACGCTCGCGTTTGCAGAAAGAGCAATGACTGTTGGAACACGACGTCGGCCGGCCGGCCGGCCGGCCGACGAGGTACAAGATGGAGGTGGCTCTCGCCGAGTCACATCCCCGTCGTTGAAAGGCCCCTTTTACGTGGCTGGCTATAAAGTTGTTCTGATGACCGCGCGCCCGTCTCAGAAACACTCCACCCTCGAACGAATCGACCAGCTTTCACGCCATGAAATTACATGTAAGTACGCAGCTGCCTTATGTTATTCTTTTTTTTTGTTTATTTAACCGAAAGGTTTTCAATGTAGAATGCACGCGTATTTTTCTACGATTCGCACGTTTTCTTTTAGCGAAATAAAGTCGCGTGCGCCTAATTGTACTGCATATATACAAACCAGATATACCGGAAATAAATTATGCGACGATTCGATTAACGAGTGTCGTTCGTTATTTTGTGCTATTTCAGTCTTGAAGATTTTCTCGCATATGTCCGAAATCTTAATCATTATGTGAATCTCGTAGATATGCATGTAGGTATGTGTATTTCATGATATGTATCATTTTATCACGTTAAAAAATAAAAAAAGTATGAAATGTTCTAGAAGTGTCACGTGCATTTAATTACTATGTGTTGCAAAACATTCTTTCAGATATTAATTGGATCATGAATTTATCTCACTCTGCATTTTGTATTTCCGTTTTTCACGTTTGTATCGCGAAAATTGAATGCACTCTTGTAAGGTTTCATTTTATCGTGGTCGCAAGACGCGAAAGCAAGACAGGAAGTCGTTTTGTCAGAGATACTCAACCTCGCCTTCTGAAAGGTAATGAGTGAATAAAGGAATGATGAATGTCGTGCATTTAATTGCATCGTTGGGTTGCATCGTAAAGAGAGTGACGAATCGTAATGCTTCTTAATTATCGAGAACGCTGACCAAGAGTGCATTTCACGACCCAATTACCCGCGGATATGAGTGATCAGGTTTTTGCAATCTTGCTGCAAGCTCGCGGATTGAGGTTTCAACATAGAGAATAGCCTGTGTTCCATCGATTACTTTGCTGTCAAGTCGCTTTGCTGTCACGCTGCAGATATACTTTTCTTTTATAAGAGCTAAACTCATACGTATTCTCTTCTTATAAGAATTAAACCTATGAGATAAGATAGACACTCAGACAAAGAAAATGACCCAAATATAAAAAAACTTTTTAAAACAACAAATATTAATTAAAATTAAATATTAGTTCAATGTACGCTATTTTTAGTTAATATTAAAATATTCTTTCGTCCAGACTGCTTAAAGAAAAAAAAAAATATATGTAGACCTCAATAATCAGCATGCGTGTCGCGACTCGTTCCTTGCAAAATGTCGCTCGGTTTCCGCGTTCTGCAAGATAAAACTCGCACAGAATTTGTCATACGTGCGATTCTGGAGCGGCATTTTGTCTCGTGACAGCTGGTTACAGACATTTTCGAAACGAGTCGAAGTTAATTTTTTTTTCGGATAATCACGTTGGGCGTGTCTGGACAATTAATGTCTATCTCACTTTCTACCGATCGTGTAATGTTCGTTGCTTAGTGCATTCGATCGCTTGTAAGTTGCGAGTCGACTTGCGACTTGCACTTTTTCTTTTTTCTTCTATCTACCTTTTTGTGTGGCCGCGTTTCTAACAGTCTTGCGATCGCGAATGTTAACTAGTAACGTGCTCACCTTTTCCCCGATTACCGTGATTAAAGATTCATGTGCTCGCCGACTTTCCCTTCCAACTTCCCGGTGTCGGTTGCTCGATTCGCTTCCATATATGCAATATAGTACATACCGTAAGACAGATTCAGGTTTAGTGCCACGCGCATTAGATAATGATCTTTGATCGTCTAGTTGCGAAATCGAAAGCACTTAACATCGAGAATGAGATAAATGCTTGAATATGTTACATTCCGATTTTATTTTATTATAGTGATTAAAAAGATCAATACAATAATGAAATATATAATTGTAGTATTTTCTACTAATAATAAGTACTTACTTAGAAAAATATAATAAAAACTGTTGTGTAGAATTGATGAATGATTTTATTTATTCTTTTCCATAATGTACTTTCTCTTTTATTATATATAATAAAATACTTAAATATTTTACCTTGTTATGACGTATAGTATAAAATTCTATCATAAATCTGTCACAGGTTTTATTATTAACGGCACTTCCCATGTGCCTGGCTGAATTCACAATCCAGGGGCCTAGTGACGGACATCGACGGGCTCAGGGTCTTAAGTTCAGCGAAGAGAAAGGAATAGAATACACAGACGCGAGTGGTAAGTGTAGATAAATATAGACAATGCGACTAGAAATGATAAAAACTAGAAATTATTAAAACAATTTGTAGTGATTTTAAAGAATGTTTTCTAGAATATTTTGATTTTTTTAAAATAAATTTTATATATTTTTTAACTATGTTTTGAAATAAGCATAAAATTTGTTTTTTAAGTATGTATCTCTTATTTTTTCTAACTTTCGTAATCTTATAGTTACACTAATAGTTAAATACTACTTGAAAAAAGGTTCCTATATTTAAATAAATGTAATTTATAATTTCTTTATATATGCGTTTTATGCAGTATTCTTAAGTGTTTTCGGTTTTTAGAGGGAGGGGGACCAGGAGACTTCACCATTCAAGGTGCGACTGACGGTAATAGTAACTTCCAGATCCAAGGTGCTACGGATGGGCATTCGAATTTCCAGATTCAAGGGCCTTCAGATGGTGGATCGGCCACTTACAATGTACAAGGACCGATCGATCGATACGGTCAGCCTACATATCAGGAAGATTACGCTAATCAGGGTATCAATGCAAAGGCGCTCCAGTATAACGATCCTAGCGGTATTGTTGTCAACTTTGCTTCATGAGTTTTATCACGTTATATTCAAATGTTTATATCCGAAATTTATCACGTTATATCCAAATCGATCTGACATGAATATACATTGAAAGGTTATAGAGTAAACTGGAGGTCGTATGATCGTCAAGCACGTCCGCAAGCTCAGGCAGAACCGCAATATGTGCAAGCTGCGGAACCAGTTGCACGACCAGCTGCGCCCCGACATCGAGTGCAACAAGCGCGAGCGCAACCGCAACCTCAAGAGCAACCGGAACCACAGCCAAATTATAGGCCTTACTCTAATGCACCGCCACAGATCCAGCAACTGCTCCAGTTCCAGCAGCAAATTCCGTACATCAATATAATTCCGGAACCATACAGGTTCGAAACAATAAAAAAATTGAACAAGATTACGTATATAACATTTTTACTTGTATCATCTGTTATTACTTAATAATTTCAAATACGCAGTTTCAACGATCCTTAACCAAATTGCAGATTTGACGAAGAAGCCGCACTGCGGGCTCAATCTCAACAGGTCCAGGAACATCTTAAGAAGTTGGCGCAAGAGGCGGCGAGTGCTCCTCTACCTGATCCTGTAGTCGCGTCTGCACCTCGTCAAAAGTCACGCGGCCACTCCAGGAGCAAACGTCAGGCTCAACAGCAGTACAATAAAATATCTCAGCCGCCGGCAGAACCGCAACCTCAATACTCGCCCAATCTGCCATCTCACTTGCGCGAACTGCTGAGATATCAGGCGCAAACCCCGTACAATATAATTGCTAATCAGATCGTATATCGTCCGGAGAAGCCATACGTGCCGCACCCCGTAAACCCACAGCAACAGCAGCAGCAGCAGCAACCGTTACAGCAAGCACAGTACCAAGGTCAGGGTGGCGCCTATGAGAGTCAAGCTAGCACGTATACACAAGCTAACATACAGCCGATACAGGCGGCGTACCAGAACCAACAATATCAACAGCTCGGTAATAATCAGCAGCCTGGCGTAAGACCTGTCACCGAGAGTCAGTACTGATCACCTTGGCGAGGTGTTCTTCAGGGCCTTTTGTTTGTTTCAATTGAATAGAACAAGTCTTTCAGGACTGGATTCTATTATGTGATAAATTACGACCGAGTTTCTTTCAACATTCAGTTTATCAAAAAATAAATGAGATGAAGATAGAGTAAATGTTGCTATTATTTAAATTTATTACAAGTTAGGTTTTAAACAAAATTACGATTAAAAGAAAATAATTAATTTGAAATCTTGTATATCTTTTTTGGTCCTTTTGAAATAAAAGGGGAAAAATATTTTAATGTAATATTTGTTAAATAATAAATATCTGTTTGAACGGTGTAATAATTAGAGGTTCTTTCTATAGATCAAGTTTGAGATTATATAAAAATAAATATATCAATTATATATTTTTTAAGTTTTTTGTCACTTGAATAAAAAATTATTTGTCTTTGATTTTATCCAACATATAAAAATATTTTAGCAATAAATTCTTTTCACGAAATCTACATTCTAGAAAATATGTTCTTACAGATTTTCTGTACGATCGGTAGTTTCAATATGTTATAACAAGATAAAGCAAAATTGATGATCCGAGAGTCAATTTTTTCGTGATTCTTACAACAAAATTAGGCCGAACGTTAGGCTCGCAATAATATACAATGCATTGATATATTTAGAAAAATATCGATAAATGTTTGAAGTGAAAATCTATATAATAAATTTACCTGTATTATAGTTTTTTTTTATTTTATACATGTTTTTACAAATAAAATATTTGTGATTGTATTCTGAAAATGTGTATCTGTTTTTTTTCATTTAATTTAGCTACTGATATATAAGACAAAGCGAGGTAATTTTGGATAGATTAACTATCTGGATTAATAGAAATAAACCGTTTTGCGCCATTACGTTCAGTTTTGTAGATAATTAAGAAAATTGATGAAAAATTTGTAAAACTTGAAACAATTAAGGAAATACTAAAAGAAAACTTTTTCTATTTCTTATACATTATTTAACTTATAAAAATATAAAATGAGTTTTGCAATTGCATTAAATGTCATATTTACATTTGCTCTTTTCTTAAATGCTTTAATTTTCATAGATTTGCATCATCTGTCTTGATTATCGATATAGAAAATTGGATGTGATGACACGTATGAATTTAGATTTAGCAACTCAAGATTTATAAGAAACATCTATTCTGATTTGAATTCACGATTACTATAAAAATAAATGTCATTATTACCTGTCAACGTTAAATATGAACAGACATTAGTATTTTTATGTCAAAATATTATATATAAATTATACTTTAGAAAAAAAATATACTGGCCGAAAAAAGTCGTAACAAAATTACTTATAAAATCTTCATTAAACCAAAATAAACGATATTAATACAAAAATTATTTCTTTAAAACGACAAAATAAAAATATCAAATGTTTGCGTCTATCAAAATAATTACTGTGCAAAGCGATACTACTTACCTACCTTTCCCCAATTCATCGGTCGAATTGATAAAAACATCCGCAGAAAGTAGAGGTTCCAATTCGATATCTGATCTGGACTAATTTTTCCAAAATACATTTTCTAGCAATTTTTTATAAGATATAAGTTAGTACTAGATTTAATAGATGTATTTTAGCAACAAATCTTTTACGGATTCATATGTAATATGATTTAAATAATGAGTTTTTAATATTAATATATTTAATTGAATATCAATTTAATGGAATATTAATATTCTTTAAAATGTTATTACATTGAAAACGTATAGTCCATTATTTATTTGATTTAAACTTAACGCATCTCGAATATCTATCTTAATTAAGCATGTCATTTTTATTCAATTTTACAGGCAACGGGCTTGGGTAATAATGCATTATTGATAGTAATGCAATTTTAAGAAATATAATAATAATAAACAAGTGTATATTTATCTGTGTTAAAAAAAGATATAGGTATGTAGCGGAAGAAAACTTAAAAAATTATTAAAAAAAGAAAAGTACATTATACTAAAACATGATAAACAGTCGGTATGTGTGACCCCTTTGCCTTTATTTATCTTTTGTCAAGTAAAAGTCTTTGTCTTCTATTAGCCGAGTTATCATTTCCACGTTGTATACAATATACATAAGACATAGAGAGAAGAGCGGACTCTGATTTGGTAAGATAAACGATTCGGAATTAATAAAACTTATTAAATTTTCAGGACGCACAATGATGCTAACTCTCGTACTATTTAAAATTTTTAGAGTAAATGATAATTTTGAACAGTGTATTCTCACTATTAAAAATTGAAAATTAAGTAAGATTCCACTCCAAAAAATTTGAACAGTACGATTATTTTTGCCTTTGTGTATAACAATTTTCTTTGACGCTATTTTTTATAT